CTGGTATAATAGGCCAGAAGTGGCCGCAGAGCAAGGGACTTAGTCCCACCCCACTAGCAATAAAACCCCATTAATACTTCTTCTTAACTTATTTAACTACAATTTTTAGCTGAATATATTACATCACGTCCAATGACAGAAGAATTTGAATAATGCGTAATAGAGAATAAGCAAAGAAGTGGCCATAGCCTGTTTCACTGCATTATCCTGATATTTGTGTGGGGATAATCAAACGCACTAATGCTGCAACGAGGGCCACCGTCCTACCGATAGGGATTCAAACTGGAGACCTATCCTTCCAACTACGTTGGTGCCTTCTTTTTCTTTAAATCTGTATTAATGTATATGTTTCATTCCAAGACGCTCTTTTCTCGCCTTGGAGCCTCGGGTTCAGTCTCTTGTATCTTAATGTGAGGTTCGTGGCCCACGGAGTGGAACTGGAACAGGGTTTTCTCCGAGTTTCTTCCGCTTTCCCTTGCTTATCATCATTCCACTATTATTCCATATTCATCCCAAATCGTCTCTTGATAAGCAATAACCCACAACAGGCAGCACATTATCATAGCCTCCGTATTTGAGCTGGGGAACCCTGGAACCGGCGGCCACAGAATGGAAGGGGTTTGACTGATAATGGTGTCGCCGCGATCAAGCGGCAACTTCTCCGACTTGGTAGTAATGCGGGTCAGTAGTACAATTCAGAGCAGGCGTTCCTGATCGTAATTGTATTCTTGAACGTAACAGTATGTTACGTGATGAAACTGTATATCTACTTTGAATATAGAGGCATTATGTAACTCCACTGTTCGTTGACTACCTACCCGACTACACGGTATCACAGGCCAGAAGACCCATATCTGTCCCAGTATGCTGTTGGAGTCTGGAAGAGGTTCTCAGAATATTAGAGAGGAACATATTGCCAGCATTTTCATAGCGGATGTGTCAGCCAAAGAAACCAGCATACAAAATGAAAATTATATGTATGAATCGTTTAACGTAAGCTTCAAAGTGCTATTGTAACAGAGCACTACATTCATGCGATAAAACAAGTGAGATTTTTAACAGAATAATCATTTTTTATTTTATTTTCTTCTTAAGTGCGATTACGTTTAGGATGCTATTGTTGAATATTACAGTTCAAAAGTGTATGCCTAACAATAACTTAATTTAATTATTTCCGGAAATATAATATTTACATAGATAATATATTTGACGTAAAATATGTCTTTCATTTTTATATAACCTTTGTTCGTAATATTTTTCTCTGAGTTAAACATTTTAAGAAATACAAAAAACACGCAAAGGTCCTCAAGTAAAGTCATCATTAAACGTATTCGATCTAAACAAAAAGTGAAGTGCCCCAGCAACTATTCGTAAAAGTCTCAGATATCGGATTTCATACAGACCGGCTCAGTGTCTCTCGAATCCCATGAGGACGGGTGAACAACTGAGCGAAATTGCGAACGCATCTAAAACGGAAGAGAACGAGAAGGGGGGGCGAGAGAATAAGCAAGAGCAGACAAACAACGAACACCAAAACTTGGGAGGGGGGGTGTCTTTCTGAATGACGCAAGTGAAAGCGATCTCAAAGTAGATAGTACGAAGGGCCCATCGGGGCAGAATGCGATTTTGGGCACAAAACTATGTTCAAAATGAGCATTTGGATCTGCGCTTCATATGCTTACTGGGTCCCAATATTTTCCTCAGTTCTCTAGAAGACGCTAGAGAATTGCCTTAACCAATCATGGCCTACCTGCTTCAAACACCAGAATTCTGCATCCTGCCCACAGAGTGTATCTGTGTGTTCCGTATGGTTCTCACAGTAAACAGCGACTGTTTCCCTAAACAGCATTAACCGGTTGGGCTTTGTAGCGGAGACGTAATGTGTTTCCTGTGAGTGTATGGACTGAATTAATATATATATTGGGTTTGCATTGGTAAATAGATTTACTGACACCGTACAGGTCGTGACTACAAATTACTACAAAAATATAGCTGATTTCAACAGTTCACAAACCACTACGCGCTAAGTCTTCTCAGTTTGCTTTCATGAGTCGTTTCCTGGTAACGGATTTTAACACTTAAGAGTCTCCAGCTTCTGTGCTCACGTCTTTACTGTCCAGCGAATATCCTGCAACTGAACCCAACTCACTTGCTTGTAACATGTCTACATGGATCACGTGGTTCTGTTATTGTTGCATTCGTGTCTGCTGCCGCGGGAACGTGTTAACCGAGCCACTGCGAAGAAACGGCACTGGTATAACCATCCAACTCGCAGTCGTCACATAGCAAAGGTACTACATGCCACAATATGCAATGAATATTTGAAGATTGAATGGAGAAGAGGATGTGGACAAAAGATGAAGTGGTATAATTTTAAGTAATGTTACGGAATTTGCCTGGAAGGACTGAGGAAAATCATGCGAAACATCACTCAGGACAACCGATGTTTCGGCTAGTTGTCTCCGCAAAACAAGTCGAAGCATTACAACTTGAGCCAACATGGAGCTAAGATTTCGAAGGCATCTGATGACTCAGCCTTCAGAGCTATAGCGACAACAGGTTCTTCAGAAACGTCCATAATTATGTACCAAAATTCATTACATCTCATCCCAGATAGCCGTAAACTTATCCTGATTCAATCGAATTAATTTAATATTTTCACAGTCAATAATGCTAAGATTCTTCTTAATATTATTCCAACATGTACATCCAAAATGAGTGGGGCTAGACCAGTCGGTATAGCGACAGACTACGGGCTGAACACCCCGGGTTTGATTCCCAGCAGGTACAAGTAATTCTTCTCTACTCCACACCGTCCAGACCGGTACTCGGGCCCACCCAACCTATTGTAGAGTGGGTACCGGGGGCTCCTTACCCAGAGAAAGCGACCGGCACGTGAAACTGCCTTCTCACCTCCATCTTGTGCTCAGGTAAACAATGGTGGATCTGTATCTTCACTTCCTCATACGTCTTCATAGCGTGATGCTTAATTAAGCACAGAGATAACTTTACTTGTGCTTTGAGTACTACGCAAATAAGAGAAGCCGGAGAGCTCAGTCGGTAGAGCGGCAGGCTACTGACTGGACGGAGCGGGATTGATTCTCCTTTACTCCACGGCATCCGGACGGGCTCTGGGGTCCACCCAGCATACTATAGAGTGGGTACAGGGGGCTCTTTACGCGGGAGTAAAGCGGCAGGAGCGTGAAGCTAACCATTCAGCTCCATCTAGTGCCGAGGTCAAGAATGATGGAGCCATACTGCTGCCCTCCAACACGTATTCATAGTGTGATATTTAATTAATTAAGCAAAGAGGAAATTTTACTTTTACTTTCATTACAAAGTAAACAAGTAAGTTTATTTCTGGGATAAGAGCGAACTCCCTGCTTCTCTTAATGGAGAGGCTTAAGTCCTATCTTCTCAATGTTAATTTATGTCATATTCAGGTGCGTTTTCTAAGTAATCATATGTTCTATATTTAAGAAGCTTTGGTCATCTGCGCTTGAGCGTTCTCTTTATATGTCGACTGTTTCGATATTTATTTATTATTTGGGGGGTTATTTTACGACGCTGGCAGTAGCTAATCTATCTAGCATCCAATGGTAGGGCGACCATTCATGGGTGATGAGTTTGAGATATTTGGAAGGACACCATCGCAGTCCAATCAAGGTACTAGCCAGACATTTGCCTAGGACTGAGGAAAATCACGAGAAATCTGTCAGGAAAATCGGTGTTGCGGCCAAGATTCGAACCGAGAACATCCTCAGTACGAGTCCACTTTGTTATCGCTACTCCAACGGGCTCTGATGCAGTGAATTGTAGGATTTTAGGTTCTAGAATATAACGCCGTATCGTCAGTTGAAAGTCAACTGACGTTTCAGAGGAACACGTCGCCTTTATCGGCTCTTACATGTCACCTGCTTTCAGCCGGTTTCTTGTTTGGCTACGAACTGAAAATGGAGGCGACATGTTCCTCCGAAACGTCAGTTAACATTCATGGGACTACATGGCGTATATCCCAAAACACGGAACTCTTCAATACAGTGATTTTCTTGTAAACATATTTTTTAAATATTTTTTCAAAGACATAAAACATTTTCACGTGACTCACAACCTCCCTCTTGATATAGTGACTGTTATTCATTGGCTTGTCTCGCCGGGTTTCATTCTGAGCCGTCACTTGTCAAGAAACTGCGTCTCCTTTACGAAGGAAATGAGAATTCGGGCGCCGCGAACAAACTGGTATTCGCCGGACGGAGCGAATGGACTGCACAGCCCGGGACTTCATCAATCACTTGTCGAAGGTAACAAGAGGTACTGTCTCTTTACACTCCGAGTTACTTGCGCGCCCGTTATCACAACAGCTGAACCTCCACACTTGCCTGTCTGTCGCGTATTTTAAACTGACATCTTCAGTCTACTGGAATGTGACGCCGTGTAGTCCGGCATTTCAGTAATGCACAGATATATAAGTAAAAACCTCACAAATCGCCCAACTTTGCTGATATCTCCTTTTTTCTTTAATTCGCATATTGGGGGGGGGGATTGGAGTCCAGTTGGGTCCACTCGGCATGTCGGCCACTGATTGGTCCATTGTACCTGTCCCGGGTGATTATGATGATGCAGAATTTGGTGGAATGAAGATTGACACGGAAAACCGAAGTACTCGGAGAAAAACCTGCCCCAGAGCCACTCTGTCCACTACAAATTCCACTTGACCAAACCGGACTCGAACCTGGGCCACCGCGGTGGGAAGCCATCGACTAACCGTTTGAGCTATGGCGCGGCCCTAACATCTGCTCTGACAGAATGCTACTATTGTAGAATGTTGAATGTATGAATGTATTAGGGGTGGGCCTTCTTTGCACTTGCACCGCGACCAATACTAGAATGTTACTAGCCCTGAACCGGTCAGTTTTTGTAATGCCATATTGACGGCCGTCGCTCCTTGATGGGCAGTGTTGCCAACCCCCAAAAACTAAATTGTGTACAGCAGCACTTACCGTGATCAGAAGGGGTCCTACTGAGAGCTAGGGCACATGTCCATGTAGACCGTCCATAGAGGGCCGATACCTGTAACCAAAACACATAATTAGGTGCAGGGGTCAACAGAATTCGCAGTCGTTGCAATGCAGGGACAGTTCCGCTGGATTGTGTTCGCCTGGAAGAGATCTGGACTCAAATATGAGTGCAAACTCTCAAACACAGATCCTTACTCATAACTAATATAACGATGCTCTCAGTGTTCCTCGTTATACAGAATGTCCCAGGAGCAAAGGTCATTATTCTGGGAGGTCATAATATCGGTCTTTCTGGGCAAAAAATGTGTATATGTACATGTGTCCTATTCCGAACGGTTTCCGAGCTAGAGTTATTTCACTGTACAGTTCCAGAATTGTTGATAAGAAAGAGATATTACGTACTGTTTCTAATGCCGGTATTTATCGTTGAAGTGACAAAGTTGGTACAGTTTACCTAGGACAGCAGACGAGAAAACAAAAGTGGATATTAAGGTAAAATTGTCCCTGTGCTTAACTAAGCACTACACCATGAAGGCGTATGGGGGAGTGGATGTATAGATGCAAATTTTGATCTCGGCACTAGTTGGAGGTAAGTGGTCAGCTTCACGCACCGGCCGCTTTACCCCTGCCGAAACAGCCCCCCACCGTACCCATTGGATAGGAGGTTGGGTGGACTCCAGAGCCGGTCTGGACATGTAGAAGTGAAAATTCTTGCCCCCCGGGACTCGAACTCCGAACCCTCGGCCGTCCAGCCCGTAGCCAGTCGCTATACCGACTATTAACATACCATTTCTAATCTCTTCTATGGAACGTATCTGTTAAGTGTACAAAATACAATTTTAATTTTGTTTTTGTATCACACAGATTTAGAGATTTGAGGGTGTCATGCTAGCCAGATCACAGCATTCTGTACTGGTTTTGTTTCCAAATAAGTGCACGCAGTACTCGTGACGACTTCACTGCGTCAACTTTAAGGCAGTGCAATTAGCTTTGTGCACGTAACCGAATTACGCATGCTCGTGTTGGTTCCGTATTTATCATTCCGTGACTTCACTTTGAAGCACAAGAACTACTCCGGATTACATAATTCGATGCCAGGGATCTCTCCGTGGGTTGCAAAATATACACAGAAAACAGTATACGTGTACACTATGTTGATTAATTTGAGCAGTTGGGAATTTATGTGATCTCTCTGACGAGTCTGTTCAATTATTCCCACTTGAGAGCCGACGAATTCAAACAGCGGATTCGGTAAATGGATTACGCACCGTAGTCGAATTGTCCTGAAAGTCTACACAGTTCCCTTAGTTAATTCAATTCAGACGTCATTATAATATTATTGTGCAACCTATAGTGAGTCTAAAATATCTTGGAGGTTACATCATTACAAAGCAGTGGCGTATCTCTTTTTTTCTATGGCTCTTCCAGCCAGTTCAGGGCCCCGGCCTCCTATTCAAACCAGCAGTATGGAGCTCATCACCGCCCTTAACCAGCAGTATAGAGCTCATCACCCCCCTTAACCAGCAGTATGGAGCTCATCACCGTCCTTAACCAGCAGTATAGAGCTCATTATCGCCCTTAACCAGCAGTATGGAGCTCATCACCGCCCTTAACCAGCAGTATTGAGCTCATCACCGCCCTTAACCAGCAGTATAGAGCTCATCACCGCCCTTAACGAGCAGTGTGGAGATCAACATACAAGTAGCTCTTAGCCGGTAGTCTCGAGATCAACGCGAACTCTGACTGCTAACAGACAAATATAACGTCATAGCAGCAAGAGTTTTCTGCCATCTTTTGATACTAAGTTTAATTATCACAGACCCTTCTGTTAACAAAAGCCGCATAGCGTTTAAGGGATAAAAGTATCTGTTACCGCCTCCTAATCCTATACGTAACTACTACCAAACTTTTCTGTCATCTTCTAGTCATATTTGTTACTACCAATAGTTAAGACTGAAAACTGTACATAACGACAACATAGGAAGCCTTATCCTGCATACATGCATTGATGTACGGATTGCAAGAATCCTGTATTCTCGAATATAAGCCCATGTAGTCCGTTGAAAGCCTACAATTTTCGGTGGAGCATGTCGCCTCCATCTTCAGGTCCGAAGAATAACACGAGCAAGAAACCAGAGTGAAAGCAGGTGGTACTGAAGAGCTTTACTTGCTATCTTCTTTCACACTGGTTTCTTGCTTGGCTCACTGTTCAAACCTGAAGATCGAAGCGACATGTTCTTCCGAAACGTCCGTTGACTTTCCACGGGCTGCATGGAGCTATATCCCAGAGTACAGAACTCTTCATAACCACGGCTGTGAGAACATCAAATCCTACATGACGGAAAGACTGTTTGAAAATGATGTAGATTCATAATTTGAGTTGAGATATACTGCCCAGGTCAGTCTGCTGCCACTGAACCGGCCGATGGACGCAGAAGCGATTCCCATGAATTAACAATGTAAGCACGAAAAATACTACTTGCGGCTGGCGGCTTTATGCTTCATTTCTCCGAACAACTCGCTTGTTTATTTACGAGTCCCATGTTGATAATCTGTTCGTGTAGCAAAAATTGATTTGTGACTCTACTGATCTGAAACGTAAATATAAAGCGTACATGTAAGTTTTGAGGTTTTCACGGCGATGACAATGAAGAAAGTCGTCTTCTGGGTTTAGGCACCGTGTATTCTTCGTTTTGGCCGACGTTTCGGAGGAACGTAGCGCCTCCATCTTCAGAGCAGTTGAATGGCTTGGAATGCGGAGAGCAGTAGCTGTAGTGATAGGATGTGAAAGGCGCTGCTTATATACGAAGTAGGCAGGGGGGGT